TATATATATATATATATATATATATATATATATATATATATACATATTCGATATGTATACACATATTCTATATTGAAAGTTTAAATATTTAAGGAGTATATATATATAAAATAATAAGGAAGTCCAGAGTTAGATACCGGTGTTATTAGTGTTAAGGCATTGTGATGCCTTTACTTTAATAGATGAACGAAACACATAGCCGACATGACTCGGTCCCACCTACTATCACATGGACAGGATCCCGCCGCGCGAATTATCAGCGCAAGACTCTGATTTTCCCAGGCGCGTTCGTATCTTCCTCTCGGCAGGATCCAACGAAATATCTCGAGTGCAGCGACGAAGTCGACCGTATCGGACGCGAACGTACAGATACGAGCGATGAACCGTTAGAAGTTTATGGGTTGTCGTGTTTTCGTGAGGAGCACCGGCGCACTCGCGCGACCTTTCCAGTGGCGCACACACCGTGCCGGCACGATTTTCGTCGTTGAGACACGCTCAATGTCTGTCCGCCGGCTTTATGCACGTCTCATTGTCATCGAGTTAGCGTTATCTCGTCGGTACGCTCTCCGCGTCGCGGCCGATCTGCATTCGGGTCGTTTGCGCGCGTTCGCATCCTTAACGGGACGTGGACGGCTCTCTCGCGGGGGGACGCGTCCCCGAGCGCGACTCACGTATGTGTCGTGCGTACTTCTCTCTTTTCCATCGGCGCCCTTTTACCGTCCCTCTCGCATCTCCTCAACGGAGATGCGAGAGCGCGGCAGAAATAATCCTCGGCGGGGCACTTAAGTTACGTTACCGAGCATATCCAACTATGTGGATCACAAAGCGTGGTAACAGCTACGCGATCTCTCAGAGAAAAGGCCACTAACTCCACCGTGGTGAGAGAGCCTCACGAGTCCTATGCGAACTGGACACGACGTCCTCGTTAGAGATCGATTAATCCACCATGCTGATCACGCGGCATCGCGCGGCTCGAAACCGTGCCTCGCGAAAATATTTGCCTAAGCTGATGTGTACACGCGACGCGTGCTCGGCGGCTTAATATTTGAGGATGAGCGCTCGTTAAAGAAATACTCTCGGTGTTCATGTAAACGCTAGTTTGAGGAAGACACCGGTCGCATCGCAGCCGGCTGTATGTGTGCGCACCATGACCTGGGCGGAGTCAATGCGCGGCCTTCGAACGGGGCGGTACGAAGAAACCACGAGAAGAAGATGCGAGTACGAACAACTTTACTGAGTGCAAAGATCTCTCAAGGACGCTACCGCAGCTTTCGTCCTTGTCTGGCTTTAATGAAGGTCCCTAGGAGCGCGCGTACGCGTACGCTCGGTGCTCTCGCGCGGATCGCAACGTTCGCTTCAGGGCCGGAGTGTGGCCAAGACGTCGTGACGTTGCTCCGTCTAATATCAGAGACGACGCTATCGTGTCATCGTGTCGTTCTCGCGCGATTACAAGTTAGCGCCTGTCGTAGCGCCTCCGCGTGCGATATGCAAATCTGTCTCGACAATGGGATAGACACTGCGCCCGCGCTCCCTGACTCCGTCGCTCTCCACGTCCCGTTCTTCTGTGTTTATACGCGAGGCTTTCCCAGCGCCGAAAGGGTTAAATGTTAGCCGAACTTCCCGCTGCTTCAGGCTACGCGCTCTAGTATCTGAAGCAGAAATGGAAACGCTTTGCAACGCCATGAGAACTTCCTTCGTTTGTCTTCGCGAACGCACGTGTAGCAGTTTAGATTATTTTATAATCGCTCTCGCTGGTATTTCTTTTATAAATATTAAGAGATCTGCACCATGAGCGAGCGCGTTGTTCTCGCGTTTGAGGATCCGACGAGTCGAGCCGGGTTCCCAAGTGCGGTACTGAGAGAATACGCTGTATACAGTTACAGATTGTTCCATTATATGGAGATCTTCTGACGCTCGCGGCTTCGAATTTGATTTCCGCGTGTATATCGATGTAATCGTCCAGCCATTTCCGCGCAGCATCGCGCTTACCAGGAGCAAGTTCGATTGCGCAGTTCATTCGTAAGAATGGCAGATCAATCATCGCTCGCTTGTATTACCTCATAATTACGATTCTTCAAGGTCGTCTGTCGCGTGAATCGTTGACGAATCGACTACATGATTACGCAGGCACGCACGCAACTCTAATCGGTAAAAAAATACCGCTCGCGTACAAATTCAAGGATGTTAGTGTGAAACGCATGAGTGTGTAGTTTGGTTGAAGCTCTTCGTGCACGTCTCTTACGATCTTAAATCACACCATTTAACACGCTTAGAAAAGCATATATTATAATTTAACACGTTTGAACGTGTCGAATGACGTGACTTAGAACGATCCTATACAACACACATGTTCAAAATATATCCTAGAAATATTCCAGAGATAATTGAATATATTTAAAATGTTTCTGGAATGTATTTTGAACGTTCGTACTATATGTGATAAGAAGCATGTAAAAAGAGATTCAAAATCACTCACACTTGGATTTGCACAGTGCATACATACAGAAAAATACATACTACATTTAAATAAATATTATTTGTTTTAAGTATTTCATAAGTTTACATATCCGCAAATTTATCATAAGTTTATCATAAACAACGAATTCGAAAGATATTCCGGATCTTAGTAAGCGTAGCATTTCTATCAAGAATATTAAACTGAAACAAAAATTCGGTTTGCCTACTACATAAAGTCAAACCAATAATATTCTTATAAAGAGGATAAATTCTTCTCTGGAATACATGATAACAAGATTTTCTCATGTTTTTGATGGACTCTATGAAGTATATATGAAGATTATTAAAAAAATATTCCTCGCTAAAAGCAGGTATTGCTTTATAAATTGAGTATTTTTTTCGCTTCTTTTAGTAGTAGGATATCTTTTCTGCGTATATGATCGCGAGCTGACTTGGAGGTGCGACTCGCCTGAAACAGCGGCAATTAATTCGTCACGTCGAGGTCATTGTTAATGAATTGTTATTAGTTAGTGACTGGGCACAGTCTCTCCCTCTGTACACGGTCGTATACGCGCTCATATTCTGGGTACGTTGAACCTTAACTGTCAGCTATTATAGTGACCGTGGGTACATAAGAAGATATTCTTGGACACGTGTTTCTCTCGTCGCAGCTCATCACGCGGCTCATTAACGAGGAAACCTCATTATCGTTCAGTCGAAGTCCCGACGTTACTGTGCCTGCTCCTGAGCTCGCACTCGCGAGCGATCTATAAAATAAAAATTCGTCATCATCTGGAATCTCGTTGGCGGAAGAGAGATGTTGTGTGTAAATCACGGTGCAGTCATATGTAAAATCCGTTCTTTCCACGTTACTATCTCGAGTAACCACGACCTCCGGAGGTTCGTTGCTTCTCCTCGGTGACGAGGGTGCATCTCATCAGAAAGAGAGAAAGAAACAGACGGTTATCGCGCGTAATATAATTTGCCGCGAGTAAATGCATCGCTATCGTCACAATTATCGCACCTAGTTGACTCGATAACGGTACTATTGTGCACGGCTTGCGGACGACATGTGTCGACAATCGGGCCTGAGTGTCCAATTAAATGAACGGCGCCGTGCACGCGATGGAGATAGAGGAGCGGGGGAATTTCAACACGAAAGGAAAAAATTCATTAATGCACACATGTCGCGGCATTTCAGCGTCGACAAATTCATTCGCGCGAAGATGAACGAACTCGTGAGTCTCAGCCGAATAATATCGGCAAATTATGCTTATTTTGATGAAAGTGAGAAAGAGAGAGAACATACTTTGAAAAATATCATACAAAAAAGCACCGTTGCTACTATGCACGTCGAGTCTCTTCTGATTTAGCGCGAATCATTTTTCGAATATTGAAACAGGAAAGATAGTCTCGAAAATTTGTTATTCCGATCGTAAAATACAGAATAATCTGATGACTTTGGCTTGATGTTTCTCGAGACCAAGCCATACACGCACGAGAAGTACGAAAGGCTGTAGTGCACCCTCCTGCCGCGTGTTTCTATTTCGGGCATATATCTCTTTGGTAACGAGAAAGGTTCGACGGACTGTCAAGTGAATAAAAAGAGAACGGAAGAAACGACGACGAGGGTCGAGGATAGTGGTCGCAGCAGAGGGAGGAACGGAGAGTGGAGAGAAATAGAATGAGAGAACGTCGCCTTCATCTTCGCGCGATGTTCTTACGGGCTTATATAACGCTCTCGTGCGAGACAAGGCCAAGGTTTCCGCGATGTAAGGTCGTATATACCCGCGTATACGATCATCTTATTTTATATATTTTATATTTCGCCCGTCGATTCGTGGAAGAAACTCGGTGCGTCTCCTCGCTCTCAGTAAGCGGACTACCACGAGCCTTCGGGATTCCGAACGTGTAAGAGCCGTGTATCCTGTGCCCATTGGCGCGGCACGACTTCACTTCATCAATGAAATTTTTTATCGTCTCATTAGATTCTTTATTACCTGGCAATATAAGTTAGTCATAGGCTTGCTCATGATAAAGAAAAAGAGAAGAGAGTGAAACAGAAAAAGTTAACAAAGAGAATCACAGAGACTCGTTATATACTTTACTCGAATTGATGCAGATCAAAAATAAACGTCGAATGATTCTCTTTAGTTGGAGAGCAATTTTAGAAATTTATAACATAAAACTCACCTGATAAGTGTAAGGGCCCGGCCTGTAGTAACCGCCGGCGTTCATCATAGTGTTGCTCTTCCTGCCGCCGCACATAGAAGCCATTTTCCGAGGGTTTTCCAAGTTCTCGAGATTTTTCTTCTGCGGGAATTCGCGCGAGCTACAGCCTCCAACTTCTACGACGACGCTCCTCGACGATGGCCCAAGCTGCCGTCCGGATCCATAACGAATTGTCGTATCAGTTAGCAAAGACACGTGATGATTTATACTCCTTTCGCGAGGACGAGAACCAGCCGATGCACACCGTCGCGGTAGCTAGTCCTGTATAAATTGTTTCATGTCCGCTCGCTGCTTGCCGACGGACACGTATATAAAGCGTCCATACACGCGATGTTCCTTCCGACCGGGACGACGAGACAGATAGAGAGAAAGAGAAATGAAGGGAGAGGAAGAAGAAGAGCGGGCGAGACGAAGCGCGGCGAGGTGAGGCGAGGCAAGGCGAGATAGAAGCAAGCGCGATCCACTACGTCCTTCCTCCGTGACGGTTGACCACCGACTGACAGTCCGAGATCTTCCAGTGCCGCCGTTCCTCATCTTCGTTCTTCCCGTTTGGTCGCCTCTCGTCGTATATTCGGCTCTCTCGCCTATTAATTCCCCCCACATCGGCCTTTCATGTCTCTCATAGTTACGGTGCTTCATATTTCAGGTTTGCTCTCTTTATAAAGATTCGTCGCATTCTTGTTGTCTTCAGCAACTCGTCGAAGTCGTTAGAGCGATGCCACGGGTCGTATCTTTCTCACCTTAACAAACAAAAGAGAATAATAGAGCACATGTGGTCGACCGATGAAAAAATCAGATTTAACAACATTCCGGGTAGATCCAAGTCAGCGATTGTCGGAACAATGAGCAAGGTATGAGCTACTTTTCGGAAACTCTGTTTATTTTTCTGGCATCATGATATTAATATAATATCATGTATCCCCGTTCTGCCTCAAATATGTTAAGCTTAAGATAAGATTTTTCAAACACACACTCATAAAATCTAACCTCTTTATCCATATACCATTTCCTTTTATTATCTGGTAAATTAATCCTCTAAATTAATTGACAATTCTCTGATTACTAAGTATGTTATTAACAATGTTAGACATTGATTGATTAAAATTTTCTCTGACTAAAATAATCGACAAATCAACAATCAAAATTATAATCAATTGTCGTATATGTAATTACGAGTGATTTAATGCATTGATTAAATTATTTATTAATCAATCATAGTTTTAATTAAGTTTAATTAATAATTAATTTCATCAATCAGTGAAATTATTTGTAACTTTGTATATGATAATTAATCGATTTCGATTATTGATTTGTCGATTGTTTTAACCAAAGAAAATTTTAATCGATTAATATTCAACACTGACTCTTGCTTTGTCTATTCGCGAGATGCCGCGTCGGAGACTTCGATGCTCGTATGCGCGTCGCATCGAGAGACTTCAACGCGCCTCGCAGGCGCATAGAACATATCACCGCGCTCTCTTTGCGCGCGCGACGAACGCAGGAGCGAGTTTGTGCTGTTCACGCGATGGTAACAGTAGGTTACTACGTTCGCCGGCTCGTTATAATTTCACGAGGACAACAATCAGGCGCTCATCGCATAATCTCACCGTTTGCATATTATGCGGAGCTATAATGCCACTCATTAGAAGGCTGCCTGCGCCCTTATTAACGCTGGATCGCACCGTTGCCCCATCTCATTGTTATTTCGCTAACGGTTTTCGCGAACTTTACGGTCTCGTGATTTCCCACGGTGGACACAGAGTGCGAAACCGCGTACGATGCGTGCGTGCGTGCGTGCGCGTGTCCACCCGCTTCAATCTAAAAAGAGAAAAAGAACAGTTAATACCAGCGTTTTCGATTTGTAGCCACAAAAGTCGTCGAATAAATATATTTCGCGTTCGGAGAATTTTTTAGGTTCTCCGATCTACGATATCTCGCGATATGTCGTTAAGATGTCCATTTCGTATCGTTCAGGAGCGCTCTAGAGTTCTAAATACGATGCGACTCTCCGAAACCGCCAGGGCGTCCGCAGGATTCCGTGCGGCATTCCGCCGTTTTTCCCGTCATAATGCCCCGGATACTTTTGCTCTCGCTCAGTTCTGGCATTTCACTGTTATTTAAGTGTACTCTTTCTCCTCTTCCTTGGCACGGACGCATCGCGAACTTGTCGTTTCGATTCAAAGACCCGCGTTTCTTGCTGGCTCATCAGTGCTCTGTCTGTTGCATCTGTAGCAGCGAGTAACGTACTCTCGACATACCGTAGGGAACGGTTACGCAAGAATCCGAGACACTCTCTATCTCAGACACTCACGTCTGCTGTGTCTGAAACGCAGAATTCAGATGAGGATCATCGGAAAGCCTAGACGTCAAATACGTTCGTCCGCTGACGAGAATCGCGGAAATAAATGACAATACGTTCTCATATCTGCCGTGCTAAGGAAAAAAATGGTTAACTACATTTGCCTTCAAACTGAGAAAATCAATGAAAACTATTTGCTTAGAGAATCGTAATGGAAAAATAAATTTCTATGAATACAAAAGCATGTATTGGGTAAATCGGGTACACTTTTTTTATTTTGCAATAAGAAACTAATTTTTTTTAATATTTACTACTCAAAAATGCACTTAAGGTTCTTGCTTTTTGAAAATACAAGAGAAAAAAAGTAACAAAGTGACTTAATAGTTTTCAACATAAGAAAACCGTAACTACGAAAAGCTTTTCGTTTGTAATAAGAACTATGCCTTACCAATGTTTTTGCTAGAGAAGAAAACATTAATGGATGTTGTGGTCTTTTTCACGTTTTTATGACGTATTGGACGCGTCGTACAATTTTTTTGTTAATTACGACTTCTTTCCTAGCTATTTTGTCATATTCGAAACTTTTACCTAAAGTTAACCCTAAGTTTTTATTTCAATAAATAATAATAATTTTTAGTTTCTGATTTCAATATAGTTAGACGTAGTTCTTTTCACGAATTTATTAGTATAAAAAACTCATTTTTCTTAAAAATGTGACTTAACCACTTTTTTCCTTGGCAGATATGGTAAGGTGAGTGTCCCAGTAATTGAGTATGTCTTAAGTCCGTATTAACAGTAGTTACTTGAAACTTGCTTCAGATGAGACGCTTAGATTTAAATTTAGAGTCAGACGTGAGTTTTTCAGCTGAATCGCGATTACAAATGTAATGTCACATATATCAAAATATAATTCATATAAAAAGACTTTTACCTAACTCTAAATTCAGATCTGAGTATTTTACACAAGACAGGTTTCAAGTAATTAATACAGGTCTGAATGATTGAATGTTGCAAAATACTAATAATATATTTGTGTATAATATTTCTAAAAAAGGAGAGCCTTTGTGAAAAGATATGTCTATTTATAATATCCCAGATAGATATATCTCGGCATATATCCCACACAGCAGAATGTGCAAAATATATTATTGGGATGTCCTAAATATATAATATCTCAATACCTGTAGAATATCCTTATGATATATTAGGACCTTAACTTAGTTTCCGCCCAAAAAATACTGAGAAAAAGCATTTATTGTAAAAAATTTATTTAAATTATTTCAATGAAAGTATTTTCCATCACTTTCTACAACTTTTTGCCATCTTTCTGGCAACTGGGCGATACCATCTCGATAAAACGATGTTTGTTTCGAAGCAATCCATTCGTCCACCCATTCTCGCACTTCTTCAACATTTCGGAAGCGTGT